TCTTTCAATCACCCAAGAAGAACAAATCAATAGTTGTAAAAAGCAAAAATATTATTAGTATTATTTTTGAAACAACTTGTTTTGAGATTTTGAAGGTGTACATTAAACTAGTGAATGAGTCCCCTGTGGCGAGGTATCGCAAAGTAACCATTATCCTTTCTGTTGACGGTATTGCTTCTCTAAATGACGTATCTTGTTTAGCTATTTTAGGACCAATTTGATTCAATAAACATTCAAAATCAGTAAAGTTCATTCTGCAAAAATTTTGGAAAAGTCCATAGCCCATTTCAGCTGTCAGATCACTCATTAGGTCTATTCCTCTGTACCGACTTCTACTTTTGAACAAGGAAGTTATCCACCAGCGCTTTTTCCTTCTATGCCTTTGATTATCGGATGATTCACTTATTATAATATATGCTGCACTTGCAATAATTATATCTTGCTGCGACGCCATTTTTATAAGCTTTAATAATAATATACCCGCGAAAATAAACGAATAACTGTGAAAGCATTCCTTCGTTCGTATGTGGACACAATGCCAATTTTTTAGCAAACCCCGAACGAATTCGGGCGAATTCATTCGAGCGAATTCCTTCGCCTTCGTTCTCTGTATGAATACGCACTTTAATAATGAACATCTAAATTCGCGAACACATGACTGTCTTTGATATATTTCAAACGGTTTTAAAACAAAAACCATAGGAAGAATTATTATTGCTATAAGTGTTTAAACACTCTTTAGCTGCACAACGCGTCTCAAAACTCATATTAATAAAAACCACAAGGTTTAAAATAATCTGTATAGGCTGGCAATAGGCCAGGAAAGTTTCGCGAAGAAATTGCGCATCTAAAAATATTCGAAGAGTAAATATACTGATATACCTGTGCTGTGGTAACATGACAACTATCACAAGAAATTGTCTTTTCGCCTAATAAATCCTTACAGGTTGCACACTTAACCATTTCAATTTTTCACATATATCTGCTGGGCTATAAAGATTTTATTTATATTGACCAAACCTTATCACTTATCAACTTAGAGAGGTTGAATTTCCTTCCGAGTTTATATTGTAATTATTATTTAATAGCGTTTATCCACAGTAAATATAAAAAACGACAAATTAAATGCAAATTTTATTAAAAAAATTCATTAATAAAAATATAAAAAATATATACTATAAACATATTTATGAACAGTAAACTGACTAAATTTAAACCAACACCGATCTTTTTTTTTTTTTGATTTAATTACAGATCATGTTGTATATAAGGAGTGATCCACAAAAATGTTTCTAAAGTAGGCATTGAAAACAATTACGTATGTCGAGCGTACCACTCTTCTTCTTGTCAATTTGAATTTAATTCAAAGCCGCGCGTAGTTATCACCAACACGACTCGTACGTATCTCGGTCTTTGTCGGTCATGGTCTAATTTAGAAACATTTTTTTGTGGATCATTTTTTACTTCTCTAAGCGGAAGTTTTACATGACAGTCTGACTGATGAAATTACCGTTTTACATAAATTAAAAATACTGCACAAAAACTTAAGTAACAAAAAGCTGTCATTAAAATAAAATATTAAAAACTAACTATAACCGTCAAAGTTGAAATACTGTACATTTTATAATAAACATATATTTACAAACTGGTAGGTACCTGGATACAAAATTTCATTAAGCATCACCGACAGATATTGGAAAATGTTAATAATTAAATCAATAAAATGTACTAATATACGAGATCCGTCATAAACTATCCAACTTTTATTACAAATAAGAGGCCTGTCATTGAAAACAGGGATTCGCAGATAAGAAGCCCTTATACCCAACGGGCACACTGCAACTACGTTTTGTTTGTAAAAACACAAAGAGTAGCTATTTGTGTATTAAGAGCGAAAAGTGATACTTTGCCGCTTGAGACAAAAAGTTGCCGCGTAACGCGTAGCGGAGCGCGGCAATTTGTCGAAAGCGGCAACGAACTTTTCGCTCACAAGATTTTTCTACGATCACATTATTTTAAGAAAGAGATATAAAATCTGAAAATTTGTCATAAGTACTGTATAATGTGTTGCCTATATCTACGTTTTATTCATGAAAAAATTAGTTGATATTGAAAGTCAATATTAACTTAGATAATAAAAGATAAAACATCAAACTAGGTACAAATAACTTCAAAATCATTTATTAAAAAGGAATATTATTATATTATTTCAATTAGGCGTGCGACAAAGCTGTCAAGTTTTCCGCTCGGCGATCGACAAAGCTGCTACTTAATGTCAGTTCGTGGAAAACGTCAACTTTGTGGTTGCATTTCGAAGCGCAAAAGCCTACTTTGGATAGTGATTGTAAAAAAACAAGTTTTAAGTTTTGAAAACAAAGCCAAAAAGAGAGTTGCCATGTTAATTTTATAATTATAAAAATTAATTAAAAATGGCTAGCAATTATGTAGTCTTAGAAAAAGTATAGTGTTCAATTCGAAAGGAATGAGTATGGTCAATTGTTCAACAGTGAACCATCCTATTTTTTATCACTTTATATTCTTTCTATTGAAGTTAAATTTCTGATTATATCATATTTAAAGTATACAACAACAAGCAACTACTAGACTAATGTCGTTATCTATATAGTTGCCAAACTATCACGGGAGAGTCTATATATATAAGAAATGTTTGTGGTTATAACTTATAATTTTACGTAACAAAAGGCTCTAAAATGCACAAACAGTTTTCAAAATTACATTAAAGAACTATATTTGCATTATTAACCCGTTCACTGCCAGAGGACGCTTTAAAGCGTCCGCGTTACCTGCGCATGAGTACCGCTGGCGCTTTAAAGCGCCCACGACTACCTGTTGGTAAATGAGTAGTAAGTAGGACTTCGGTACTTAGGTGACTTCAGGGTTAAACTGATGGGCAGTGAACGTGTTAATGGCAGTTATTATCTGTTTAAGGATGCAGTATTAAAACCACTGCAGATTAAAAGTTAAATAGACTAATTTTCGAATATATAGTTTCAGAAATCTAATTTTTGGCCAAATTAAAGAAAAAGGTCTAACTTAGGTCGTCTTACTATTGAAAAATCATTTAATACAACCCTATTTTATTTCATCTCATGTAAAATTATTTTAACCTCGATTTAAAACAAATAAGGAAAAATAAATAGTAAAAGTAAGAGTTTCTTTACCTACTTTTCCGAAATCAGTCGATTTGAAATGTATAAGTCGTTTTCTTCAGAATGTCATGTCAAATCGAATAAGTGATATTTCGGATTAAAAATGGTGTATAAGAATCCTCTTCGTGAACGAAATTAAAATTTAATCGTAGTAATTTAAAAAGTTCAGTGCATACTGCCAGTGCCAGTAAAAGACGCAATTAGCAATTCGTTTTTAGATATAAAAATATATTAACTAAATATAGGCATTTGTTTAAGAGGGAGATGGAAGATAATGCTGCACTATCTCTCCACTAATTTATTTTCTATTCTTGAATAAATTTTCAAATAGTTTATTTATTTAAGACTGGGTTGTCCCTGTGTATAAAAAGCGTAGCGTCACCTTACTTTCAAAACCTCCTAAGTCTTAAATTCAGGACTTTTTGATATTTTCTAATCTTATTCAACCCCGCATATGAACTGACAAAATCTCCCAAGAATTTAATATTTGTAGCGACATTTGTAGCGAAAATATTCAAGACTGCGAAGGTATAAATGGTAACATTATTCAAAAGAAGAGGCACAAGGAACAATAATTAATCAAGAAATTGTAGTACTTGACTATAGGATTGAGACAAAATCTACAAATGAAGAGGAAGATACAGAAATCGAAAATTTCAGCGATGAAAATTATGAACCTAATAATACGTTTTCTATTTATTTATGATCATGTTTATTAACATAAAACAAAAAATAAATCATTATAGTGAGTAAATGCCATAAAAATATAGTTTTTTGTACCCCGTGAAAAATTATCAAAAAAAAGTAGGTCTTGAAAGTAAGCCGACAGTATACATAGACCAAGAGTTAAATGATATACTATTTAAAAATCGAATTTTCGGTTAAATTAAAGATAAAAGTGTAATTTAGGTAGTCTTATTATTGAAAATTGATAAATTTATTATTTTCAATAAAAACCAATCATTAAAAATAACCCTATTTTATATTATCTCTAAAGTGACTTTAACAGTATTTAATTTTGATTTTAAACAAGAAAAACAAAAAAATAAAAGACGAGCTATGTTCAACCTTTATCTACGATGTGGTTTCTTCAGAACATAGAAATTTAGTAGATATACATAGAAGTAACAATTCTTGACCGAGGAAACAATAATATCTATAAAACACTCATGTGTAGACTGAAATAAATAAAAAAAAAAACAATATTGAGGGGTGAGTAGCTCAATGGTTAGAGTCGAGACTTTCGGATCCAACAGCCGCGGGTTCGAATCCTGCGGCGATGGAATTTTTCTAAATCATTTACTTAATTAAAAATTAATTCTAATATTCCCCACTCAATGATTTAATGTTGGGTTCTAATTAACAGTGCTGATCCTAAAGTGGCGCTAGAAACAGTAACAAAGTTGATGCCGATTAAACCGAATTTAAAAAAAAGAACATATGAATAAAGAAAATATTTCTTTTTTTAATTTTAAAAACAATACAAAATAACCTTAAATTACATATTGACTTTTATAATCACATAAATAGCACGTGAATAAATAGCAATAAGTCAGGGGGAGGCTAAAATTTACAAAAATTAGTCTAAATGCCTCTAAGTAAAGTTGAAAGTAACTACTTGCTGATTAAACTATAGGGCTATTGTTTGTTAATCTGTCAAGTAAACCTACACATAACTTTAATCAGAGGTAAAAAGATTGGCCCTAAAACTACGATTATAGATATTTCTGTAATTTTGAACTACGCGTTACGTAACATTATTATTATTTAACCCTTAAGAAAAGTCGCGTAGAGAGATTCTCTAATGCATTTTTTAAAACGTTTTTTTTTTTCTCAAAATTTCAAATGGAGTGACATAATTGTGATTTTTAGGTAAAAATAGTCACTTTGTGGTTACGTAACGTTTTACTAGAGGGGGGAGGGGTACAGAAAAACGTTACGGCGCGTTATATGGGGGGAGGGGGGTTAAAAATCTCCAAAAATTGCGTTACGTAATACTTGAACGCTCCCTACTACTACCAACGACAAATTAATAAGAAGTAATAGCAACTACAAAGAAGTCCTGATACAAAAGACTCAGTTCTGAATTTTTAGTTTTCAAGACACAAATATGTTAAACCCATATAACTCAACTATATACGTCTGGGAAACTATTAGGGTCCTGGTGGTGTCTTTTATGACACATGTGGTTGATATATGGGATAATTCACTGTTGAACAACTTTATATTTTCTTCTTCTGCAAAACAGAATCGGATACTTTTCAGACAGACCTCGCATATTTGAATTAAATACCACAAAATTAAATATTATGTACCTATACTAAAAAATCAATTTCGTTTGACTTTTGGCGGCGGTAAGTTTTGAATTGAAATTAGGCGACTTGGTGGAGCTTTTCGGCGACTTGTGTTGAATTTTGGTTGGCGTTTTCGTGATATTGCGGGTGGTGGATGGTACGCGTATCGCCGACGGTCCTGGTAAAGGATGGGCTGCCGAAGTGGATGGTTCCTCGTCAACCAAATTCAATGTGCTACGAAGATCAAAGCGTGGAGTCAGATCATTCTGGAAAATAATATCAAACTTTTACCAAACATTAGTATTAACATGATAAAATTGAAAAATAATTTTTAATAGTTTATAATTTTCCTCAATTGTAGGGATATTCAATAGGAATAAAACAGACCTGTACAATAAAACCCTATTGGTACGCCAATGGTACACTACCGATAGGTAAATCTATCTATTCTTGGCTTTTTTTGTTTTGTATGAAGGAAATAAATGTAATAATCTAAATTTTATTTGAGTGATTACCTAATAAATAACTAATTAAATATTGTATAGTTATAAGATTAGAAAAACTAAATATCTTGAAGACTTTGACTTGTCAAATGTCAACAGAAGGAGGTGCGTTCACCTCAGTGTGGAACAGGTTTCTCCACACTGAGGTGAACGCACCTCCTTCTGTTGACATTTGACAAGTCAAAGTCTTCAAGTGTCGCTTGTCACCACTGTCATGTGGAAACGGTTAAACAACTTGAACCAAAATGAAGAGAGAAATTTAAATTTGAAAATATTAATATTAATAAAATTATGATTTAGCAAGTTGTAAATATCCCGAAATATATAATTTTGGGAGTGAGGATGACCAGGAACTTGTTGGATACGTTGTGGACAGTAGGTAGACTTTTTCATAATTATAATGTATGTAAAATATATAAAAAAAAAACCTTCAGTTTTTTTACTTTGGCCTTCTGCGTTTTACTTTCTTCATATCAAATATTGTATTCTAGATTCAAATTTCAATATATCTTCCACAGTCACCTTCTAATTGTAAATTTCTTTAAATTTTAACTAATTTGTTAACCTTTTTACTTTCCTATCTGTATACAGATATAAGGAAAGTATAGGAATCATGATTTTTTTCGACCTCGAGTTTTTGACGGATTTTTACGTTTTGAGGTCCCCTGAATCCGTTTTGACTATTTTCGCGATGATGTCTGTGTGTGTGTGTGTGTGTGTGTGTCTGTGTGTGTGTCTGTGTGTGTGTGTGTGTGTCTGTATAACGCATAACTCATGAACCGATACACAGAAAAACACCAAATTTTAAACTTAAGCTTTGTTTCAGCGTCCAATGAGCTGATTAGATTTTGGGCAGAGTCGGAACATCTGGGGGGGTACTTTATAGGTGGTCATTTTTATATTTTATGGAATATATCTGTTATTTACGTTTGGAGAAGAAAATTCTTCAAATAAAAGTTACTTCTGATATAATTATCTATAATTTTTGTTTAATGCAAAATTTTCCTAAAATGGTCCGTATTCGAGAAATTTGACAAAATGTAAAAAAAATAATTTTTTATAAAAATTGTTCAAATAAAAGTTGTTTGTAATATAATTTTCTATAATTTTTGTCCTATACATAATTTCTCTAAAATGGACCGTATTCGAGATATTTGAGAAAATGTGTAAATTTCGAAATTTGAAGAAAACTCAAAAACGGATAAAGGAAAAAACATTAAATTTTAAACTTAAGGTTTATTTCGGCCTGACGTGAAATGATTAGATTTTGGACAAAGTCGGAACATCTGGGGGGGTACTTTATGGGAGGCCGTTTTTATATTTTATGGAATATATCTGTTATTTATGTTTGGAGAAGAAAATTGTTTAAATAAAAGTTACTTCTAATATTATTATCTATAATTTTTGTTCCATGTCAAAATTTCCTGAAATGGTCCGTATTCGAGAAATTTGACAAAATGTGCAAAATTCTGATTTTTATGAAAATTGTTGAACTAAAAGTTGTTTGCGATATCGATTTCTATAATTTTTGTTTATATATGATTTTTCTAAAATGGACCGTAATGGAAAAGTACTAAATTTAAATTTTTCTGTATTTTCGTTTTCAATGAATATCTATAGAAAAATGTTTCGAGGTAGATGTATGTGGAAAATGTATATATTTAGTTTATCCTCTAAACATTTATAGAGATGCTGCAATAGGTTGTACAAAATAACCGGAAAATGCCTATAATAACTAGATAGGAAAGTCATGTGTTGGACACATCAGATTTTTTCAATTTTGTGAATAGTGAGGGTGGCATGATTCCTTAATTCCACACAAGCTAACTTGCTTCTGGAGATCAGATTTGATTTGTAAGGGCTTATCCCACACTCACTATTCCCAATACCAGTTTTTTGTCACTTTGTTTGTTTCTTGTATTTTTTAATTTGTTCAAACAATTGTATATATACTATTTTAACTTTTGACTTAAAAGTCTAATTCTGATTTTATAATATATTTTTTAAAATATTTTTAAATTGTAAGTTTACATCCACAATTTTTGTAAATGAGCACTGATGATGGCAAATAAGCCGAAAGCGCTTTGCATTGATTAATAAAAAAGTTTTGCACGAAATACAAGTTTTTCCTTTTGAATCTAAACTACGTGCACACAGCTGTCAACCTTTTTTGGTTATTTTAATTTTAAATAAGTGACAATCCTGTCAAACTAATTGCCAGTATATTTTTTAATTATTGAGATTAAATATACATTAAAATGAGTTATTTTTGTGTAGAATCGATAAATAATCGTATATAAAAGCATTTTCATTTTCATATGAACCATATTTAAAAAAAAAAAATTAATAAAACTATATGAAACTATTTTATTTACGAGTATTAAAACCAAAATTGTAAAAGTGGCCGTAAACGCATGCACAGAGTGCTTGCCTTCCACGCGAAAAGCTAGGGATCGACTCTCGGTCGGCGAATAATTTTTTTTATATATATTTTATTTTGAAAATCAGTAAAATTCATAAATTATTTTAAAATAGTTATTTTTATTAAGCATGTAACAACATTGTACTTTACCAAATTGCACCTGTGCCAATCCCTATCCTAAGCAAAGTGGTTAAAAACATTTTTTTTATATTCAAAAAATCTCATAAGACATAACAGCGATAATTGTGTTTTCCCTGAAAATTACAATCCTAATTCATTGTGAACCTAGCTTTTAAAGCTGAATTATTAATATTTTTACCTACCTTTTAAACCATGTAGATGTGTGAAAGTTTTGTTGTTTCTATGGCAACCTGTAAAAATGAATCACAACAATAGGCATACAAATAAATTTTTAAATCAGCAAAAATTGATTCATATTTTTAATGATGTTTGCTTACTAATAATGGATAGATGTTTTTGTGTGATGTTAAGAGGAAGAAAATGTTTCCCTTTAACGATATATATCAAGATATATTTGAATATGTTATTTTCTGGAAAACTTTAAGTGCATTAAAATTAGGGCTGTCATTCGTTATTTGATTTCTTTAAAATATATTTTTTTTAACCACTTTGCTCAGAATAGGGATTGGCACAAGTGCCATTTGGTAAAGTACAATGTTTTTACATGCTTTTGGGGTATATTTAATTTCATTATCAGATGACGGTAAAAATTTGAAGTGGGCGCTTCGGCTATTATGCTTTGATTATGTATGCACCAGAGATACAAATCCGAGTGGCGCAATGTATAAACTGGAACATTGAGACCAAAAGTGCCGATACAGAGTGAGCTAACTGATTCTTTAGCTAGAAACTGTGGTAGTGCTGCCTCTATATTTCACACATGGTCCCTATAGTATTGTCTTATTTCAATAACTAAACATTTTACTGTAAGATTCCAAAGTTTCACTAAAATACATGCAGTAAAATATAAATGTCTGTATGAAATTATAAACCTCTGTTTTGACACTGAAATAGCGGCCTTAAATACTTCTTCTTAATATTCTGAAAATTTATGCTATCAATATTTTTTAAATTGTGCATAAACATGTTTATATATTCACATTTTTCTAGTTCCTTAAAAATAATAAAATAAACTGACCTTGAACTCGATATAGGTGTCATTCTTCTTGTAGTCCAATTTTTTACTGACTCTCCGTATTTTGTCAATTCTCTTTTTTCTTTCCTGTGATAAACGTTTTGCACGACTGATATTATGGTTAGTCGTTTTACCAGCCGGAAGCTTTAATTCTAAACAAAATAAAAAAACGACCAAAATTACTAAAAATATATTTTCAAAAATGTTTTGAAACAATATTTGCACAAATAAAAATACACAAGTTAATATGATGTTGGAAAGTTGTAAAAAGTGAATGAAAAACTCATTAACTGTTGTGATTTGGTACAAATCTACCCAATTCTAATTCTAGAGCAGCACTCTAAAAGTTACCAAGTTATCATCTGAAATATATATAATCACCTATAAAAGGTAGTAAATTTATTATCCTGTGATGTTTGTAAATTAAAACTGCATTTCTGAAATCTATGATCTGACAAATGTGTCTCCCATGTAGTAGGGCTAACTAGAATATTGGAAAATATAACAGCAATGCTTCTGTTAAGACAAGTAGGTGTGTCAATTTGATTTATTAAATTAAATTCAAGGAAGATATTTTTTACTTTTATTTACTCTGTTGTTTTTAGTTAGACAATCTACATTTATATCCCCACATATAATAGTTATTTGGTTTATAAATGCTATATATCAGATCATAGATCCCATCTAAAAGTATATTAGGATTACTGTTTGGTTTTCTATATACAGTTACAATAAATAACTTTTTTCATGTTCATTAAAAATGTCAAAATATCCCATCTATCTATCTATCTGAATTAGGGCGTGGTTCAAAGCTCACTTGTACTGAAGCTCTAGGCTTATTGTACCCCTCACAGTTTCTATCCCATCAGATTGATTTTCTTGATGAATTCAAGAACATGTCTGATGGGCGCTTTCGCGATTTCTTCAGGTTCCGGATATTGTACCCCGAAGTACCATTCCCGTTCCCATTTAAGGTTCCGGCAGTGGTATAGTATGTGAATAGGAGTTTCGTCCTCCTCTTCACATATTCTACATAGGGAATCATCAGATATGCCAAAGAGATTTAGGTGTCTTCTAAGGCCGCAGTGTCCCGTAAGGAGTCCTATTACGGCCTTGAGTTCGCTTCTGCTAAGGTTTAGCAGTTGATGTCTGCTCGTGGATGGCCCCTCTATGAATCTTTTGGACTGTCTAAGTCCAGGAAGTTCCATCCATCCTTTAACACCCATTTAACATGTTGGTATGAGATACCACATGTGGGTTCTGGTCCAATAACAGTTTTTTTCGCTCCCTTCCTTGCTAGGAGGTCTGCTTTCTCGTTTCCAAACACTCCCTCATGTCCTGGCACCCATTCAAGGGTGACCTTGTTATGTTCTGCCAGAGCCTGGAGGAACTGTTGGTAATCAAATATTGATTTAGATTGTACTTCTACCCTTTTTAGTGCTTTAAGGGCTGCCTGACTGTCTGTCATGATAACGATCCTCTTATCTCTAAGAGAGTCATTTAACATGACTTTGGCGCAGGCATTTATTGCTGTTACTTCAGCCTGGAAGACTGTTGTCAGTGACCCCAGGTTCAAACTAATTGTCCTCCCTGAGTTCACATGGTAGATCCCAGCTCCTGTGCTGTTATTCATTTTCGAACCATCTGTATAACAGATTGATTCGTTTTGTTTTTCCCTATTTTCCCGGCTTTTGGCCCTTTCTGCTATTTGAATATCAAAAGGTTTCCTGAAGTCGTGAATAATGGGCTTTCTATCCGATGGCATTCTTAGTACCGGATTTTGTTTTAATTTCTCTAATATCATTGTGTGGTGTCCTTTTCTCGAAAGTTCCCATCCAAATCCATTAGTAAACAGCCTGTATGCCGCCGCCATAGCCTCCTTCTCCACCACAAGGTGTAGTGGGGGAAGACCTAGCAGTAGCTCCATTGCTGCTGAGGGCGTAGTTCTAAATGCCCCTGTTATTATTAGAGAGGCTAGTCTTTGTACCTTGTCTAATTTTCTGTTAGCTGTTATGCTTTTAGTCTTGTGCCACCATATGACTGATGAGTAAGTTACAGGTACTACAACCATAGTGTAAAGCCAGTGCATCATACTTGGTTTAAGCCCCTATGCGTTTCCTACCATCCGTCTACAGGCCCATAGTATTCTTACAGCTTTTTCTGTTGTTTTTTCTATATGGCTGCAGAAGCTAAGCATCAAGAGTGATTCCAAGATATTTAACCTCTTTTGCCATTTTAAGATGTTGTCCCCACATATAAAGCTCCTTCATTCCTTGAAGGTTCCTTTTTCTTGTGAATGCAACAACAGAGGTTTTTGTCGGGTTTGTGGACAATCCCTCTTTTAGGCACCATCTTTCGACGATATTTAGTGCCCCCTGCATCCTTTCGGATGCAACAGTTCCAAATTTACCGTTTACTACGATGCTTATGTCGTCTGCAAATGCTTGCGTGTATAAGTTTTCTCTCTCTAACTCCCATAAGAGGTCATCAACCACCAAGGTCCACATAAGAGGAGATAACACTCCTCCCTGCGGGCATCCCTTGTTAACTGAGACCTCTCTTGTTGTGTTAAGGAGATTACTGGTAATGGTTCTATGATTAAGCATGAACTCTACCCACCTCGTAATGCAGATTATTGTTTAGTGTTATATATACAGTTATAATAAATAGCTTAGACTTTTTTCATGTTCATTAAAAATGTCAAAATATCCCATAGTTGCTTTAAGTTTTTTCTATACAATTTTTAAAATTAACTGCTGTAATAACAAAATGTTTTTTTGCAAGTATACACACACCTCCACGTTTACTTGTCCTTCGGCAGTATTTATTAATAAATTTGTATTTATGTAGTTCGAAAACATCACCCTCGTTTTCAGTTATCCAATGTTCAGATAAACAAAGTAAATCAGGTGATTCTTTGTTTAGAAGTACATCTAATTCGCAAATTTTCCGTGGAGTTAATCCTTGAATATTAAGGTGCATGATAATAAATTATGGGATAAAATTTTATTTATAAATACCTATTTGTGAAAACTTTTTGCTTTTAAAAATACATTTCTTTAGATCCTTTATTAATATTAATGATATTTTTTAAAATCAAATTGTCTAATTCCCACACTTTGTGGCCAATTATTTGGGTCATCCTTTAAATTAAAGTCAGTACTGAGCATGAAACATTTATTTTGGGAATCTGGGGTTGGCAGTTCTTTAACAGTGATTACTGCTTCCTTAAAGTTTGGGGAGTCTTAGAAAATCAATATTTTTTCTTCTGTAACATGTCTCATTAAGAATCGGAAATGTGACACAAAACAACTGAAGATTCTCTGATTAAAAATAGAACGACTAAACGAAACATGTTTAGATAGAATATTACTGGTTTCTGAAATACAAGATGAAAATTTTAAAATTATAAATGGTTATAATTTTTTATTTCTCAGTACAATTTTACTAAATTCTGTATGTTTGGTATCATAAGATACACCAATCAGCAAAACAATCAGTTAAATAAACTTTACCAGTGGCGTACGGCACGGAACTTTCATCCCCTCTAAATTTTGGGCTATACTTTTACTTCTACACCAAAGTTTTTTGTTTTAATTAGAGCAAGTCTTTTTATGTAGCTGCCTAAGTCTTTCCTACCTTCAATAAATCCATCATCATTATCACTTGTTGATTTGTTATTATTATTTAAATTATCTATTATTTGTTTCTAAAAATTCTAGATCACTGTAAACCTTTATTTATTGAGCCAATGTTAATATTTGGAAACAGTGACTAGTTTATTCATAATAGAGGCAGAAAGCTTAATTCAAAAAAATAAATTAGTATATCATCTGAGCCAAGACAATACAATACTCGGCAAAACAATAATTTGATTCTTTGAAGTCCTCACTCCACTATGATCAGAAATTAAATTTTGTATAAAAAACCAAAAATATTTAATTACCTACCAATTCTTTAAAAATTATTAAGTCGCATTCTTTATTTAGAATTCAAAAGAACTACTGCTTAAAAAAGCCTACTATAATAATAATACTCTCCCTAATTCACCCCCCTACGAGTGAATTTTAACCACAAAAGCTGAGCTTGTGCGGGACAAAGGACGGCTATTATTATTATTTGCCGTGGCGCTCCGGGGATACTTAAAGATGATTGATGGTGCCATTTGACTTACAGGTGAGGAAAACCCGGAAAACCTCACCCACCATCATCGAAACGGTAATGCATGGAGTTCTATAATGATAGTTTTGACCACTAGTTAGTAAAGTTTTATTGCTTTTATTTATTATAGTGTACCTCTGACAGCCGTATGCATAGTCGATCGCCAGCGACTCGCCAGAGATTCATTTCGGCGTATCGCCAGCGATTCGCTGGCGATCCGCCGGCGAAAGCCCAAAAAGCTGGCGACTCGCCGGAGATTGTCACCGGAATGTCATTTCACGCAAGTTTTTATGTTCTTTTAAGGGAAAAATTTGATATTCGTTCATTATTTTTTGAGTTTTAAGAAATGAATCATGAATAAAATGCGAGAGATACCGGTGATAATTCCTATAAAAGAAAATGAAAACTTGCGTGAAATGACATTCCGGTGACAATCTCCGGCGAGTCGCCACCTTTTTGGGCTTTGGCCGGCGGATCGCCAGCGAATCGCTGGCGATACGCCGAAATGAATCTCTGGCGAGTCGCTGGCGATCGACTATGCTTACGGCTGTTACTCTTTTATATTGTATTTTTCGTGTGTTTACATTATTATGTACCCAATAATGCATGTTTTTAATATTAATTTTATTTCTTAACTTTTTACTCTAGATTTATTTATACTTATATTTATATTTTAATGCTTTGTTGATAGAATTGGTTCTCTCTGACAATAAAGTATATTTTGATTGATTGACTGATTGATAAATAATATGAAAGAGAACATTTTAATATTTAAGAATAAACGATGTTATGTTAGTAAAAACATTTTTGTATTTTCGATTTACTCACTTTGCCTTGGTTCGGCGAAAACTTTCCTTGGAGTCAACCTAATTTTCTTGACATCTGTCAAAGGAGTATCTAACTGTCTCTTCGATACCATATTACTTGTACAAGCAAACAGAGCTGTTGTACATTTGGTGGTTGACATTGGTGTGGCCTCCTTCTGGGCCTTTCTCGCGCTAAGTCTGATTTGTTTAGCCTAGATAAAATTATATACATAAAAAAATGTTTGTTTTATGTGCGCGAAATCATGTTTCTTAACGGCGCATTAGATTGTCAATTCAATCGAATGCGTCATAAAATACTGATTTCGTCAGGACATACGAACAATATTTTTTGTCAACTCTACAAACAACAATGCCAATAAGTAAAAATTTGTTGCCTTTCGATTTATTGCAGTCAATTTCATGTAACAATTCGGATTGATGGATAAACATAATTTTTATGTAGCATTTTGAAGATTGAATTATCAAACAAATACTTCAGTTTTACAAGCAAACTGATTAATCAAAGGTTGAGGTGAAGAGAAAGTCGTATTTAAATGTGCAAGGAATATCTAAGATATTTCCAGTCTTATATTTAAATACAATTTCGAGCGCTTTCGGCAATTAAGCCATCTTCGAGAATAGAAGAGTTGGGTAACATTGCACACTTGACCAATATTACTTAGCAATTAAGTGGATAAGTTAAAATAAAAAACTTTTATGTTCCAATCGGGTCAAGGAGACATAAGTAAAAGGTTTCAAGACTTTTAGGGCCTTAATCAAATTTAAAACCAATCATCATTAGTCGTAGAATCGAAGAAGGATATTGGGATTTTTACTTGAAGTGGTTAAGTAAAGAAGTAAATCATTAATTTTTCTTTTCCCTGAAGTATAAAGCCCGATGACCGACATTTTTAGGTACCTTGGGGACCTGTTATCTACTGAACCCCCCAGTCAAGGTTCTTATCATCCAAACTTCTTAACTTTTATACTATAACGTAGGTCTGGTGGTCACCGGTTCTCACACTACAAGACTGGAAATATCTTACACTTTGCACACTTTAAATATGGCTTTCATTTTACCTCAACCTTTAACTTTAGTTTTACCTACATGTAAATGCTTAAAGATAAGAAGATCGGCGTCAATTCAGATAAAAAAGTAAAAAACGTTACTGTAATTAATAAATTTTAAATAAATGAAGTTATTTTTCCTCAAATCGTTAACAAATTAAATATTTGTTATTATTGTTCTGGAAGACATCGATACAAAAACATGTAAAAAATATCACTTTTCCAAAATTTAAATAATTAAATAACTTTTCTTAAAATCTCATCAAACTCTATTGGACATTCATTATAACGATTTTTCTGTCTTGACTGTTTTACAAGTGGGTAAATTTAAAAATGTTTTGTAAAAGATGCTATATCATACCATGTTTAAAAAATACTTACATTTTCTCTATTGGCATATAAATTATTTATATAATCAAGAATGGTCTCTCCATAATTGAGAAACGGTGAACCATAACGAGCCTCATATCTTTCGGCTTGTTCCATGAGGATTTCCTCAATTTTGGGAATCTGTTTTGCCAGCAAATTCCTCTCTTTTTCTTCACGCAAAAGTTTACCACCACGATTATTGTACCGATCCGGACCATTCGCAGCATTTTCGAGTTCTATCATCCTATCCCACAGACTTTTATGTTTATCGAGTAAGCTTAATGTTTCCCTAAAAAATTACAAAAAATCGGATTAATCAAGCTGTTTTTCTTTATCATGATTTAACATTGGTACATTAGAAACCGTAGAGGGGGCACACTTGAGTAAGAAAACAAAAATAAAAATTTGCAAATCTACAATAAGTTCAGTAGTTACATATTATTATAGTGGGAAACAATTGAAGACACAAGTGGATGAAGGACCTATGTAGCAATATAATTTTTACGAGATATTTGTGTTAAAGTTTATTGTTTGGCAGTTATTCTCTAGTACATGGGCCTTTATCCACTGGCAACTTCTATATTTGATGATATATTGTCACGGAAGACATTAAAAAAAAATGTTACATAGGCCCTTCATCCACTTGTGTCTTCAAGTTGTCTCCGAATAAATAGGATGAAAAAAAACTAGGAATATCGAAATAAAAATAATGAAAATATTTGGAGCAATAAGAACCGAAGGAAAATGGAGAAAATTCACAACGAAATAAAAGAAAAAAATGGAAGGAGATGACATTGTAAAAATTATAAAGTCAGAAAATGTGAGAAATTATGCGAAAAAATAATACAGGGTGTAACAAAAAGATGTACAGTAAATTTAACCACAGTTTCTTGGGTTGAAAATATTCAAGTTGACTTTCTTATATAAAAAATTGATAGTAAAAAAGTTGCAGGGTGTTAAAGTAGAAATTTTAGAATTGTTCTTTTTGCTCTTACTCTAAAACGGATTAACATATTTTTATGAAAATATACATAGGATGTTATTTACCAGTGAACAATAAAATGAAGTTAGGGGTGTTTAAAATTGTTTTAATTATATAGGTTTTTAGGTTTCCGCACCCCTTGACCCCTACTATTTTAGACAATGGAATTTACTTAAAAACAGTATGCAACTGAAATGCTACATTAGTTTTGAATTTTTTTTGCCTCCTAGAATTTGTTTGTAAAAGCCTTAAGTTACATTCCTCAGAAGGAAGGTCATAGTGAAAAATACAATAAAATTTTTCTGTCGATCTTAATGTAAAGTACTGAATATTTGATGACGATTTTTTTTACTATTTTACAATTTCATTTACAATTATTTCCTTTTATTATCGTTCTCAATAAGGTTATAAAATAGTAAAAAAAAATATTGTGAATAAATATTCAGTGCTTTAAGTTAAGATCAATAGAAAGAAACATGTCATTGTATTTTTCACATCAGTGAATTGAGGTTAATCAAAATTACTGATGACCCCCTCCCTACCTATGGAGCCTGCAGTATTTCAGATGAAAAATGTTTCTTACCACACTTTTTAATACTTCTCTTCACGTTTTCGATCACCTTAAATTCGAAAAAACAAAAATTTCATTTGGTGGTCTGTGGCGTGCGTATGCATGTATTATATGTAAATTTCTTAAGGTAAACAAAAATATGGCGTCAGAGATTTAATTGTCAAAATTGAACGATATAATAGTGATGGTCATCAGTTTGAAGACTAGAGAGGAGGCGAATCGGCAATGGTCAAATTTCTGTCCTTTTTATAAAGTTCGAGAAATTGTAGTTGGCATGTCGAACAGCAGCGCTGTCAATTTTCTATGTAAGTCAATGTAAAATGAAGTTATTTTTCAAAAAATTGGTAAAAATAATCAAAATAATATGAAAAAAAATACCCGAGTACAAGTAACATGAGTGACAAAAAACATCAATTCGTGCCAGATTGTAAAACAGGATACAAATCAAATGTGAAACTAAAGAAAACACAAGCAGAAATCAATTCAATGTCTTTTTGAAGCTTCTAATGTAAGTAAAATAATGTATTTATGTCTTAATATAATATTTATTGTAAACTAGTCACAATATGTATCTTATGGAGTCACTCAACCTTTTTATGACGATATTATTGATGGTTTGCCTCCCTAAAAGACCGAAGAATCAAGTTGGTGTACAAAAACTAGGTAAATAATATAAATAAATCAATGTGTGTTTTAGTTCTATTTGGTTAAGTAGCTCCTCACTATTTTTTAAAGCCGCGAGCCGCCACTGACGGAGTGTAGTTTATTTTATTAAGATATTAAAATATAAAATTTTACAGTGATAGATCTTGACTTAGAAACAACAATAATTATACATTAAATTTAACTTACTAGAAAAGAAAATTTGTTTTTTATAGTTTTAATGTTAGATAAAGAGTTGCTACTGTTATTTTTTTGGTGAACCCCAATTTTGACATTGTAAATCTTTTTTATAGTGGCAGCATATATATCGGTCCTAGGGCCGATGAAGCACTTTCTAGAGATGATGCTGTTCTACACTTTTTAGAAGATATTTCCAAATATTATGAGACTATTTTTACTGATGGTACTGTTAGCAAAATTAAACGGGGAAAGCCGAAATTAAAGGATGAGGTAATACCATGTACATTCCCAAATCTCCCTTTATGCTTGTAAGTATTACAACAATAAAAAATCTGTTAACTGTGTTTTATTTTGCTCTTAAGAGGAGTATTTACTTGGCTTTAGAGCGGAGATGCAAGGGTTTCGTAGTACCGCACATTTAACGTTTATTTTTGACTTTTTCTAAAAGAAAAAAAAAATGTGCGTGTAGGTAAAGGTTAAATATGTGCCCCTCTGGAGACACTTTTTATAAATTTGATTAATTTTCATAAAAAAAAAACTTTTTAGAAAAAAAAAAAACTAAATTGATTTTTGAAAGTGGTTCCAGAGGAGCATAGATTTAACCTTCACCTACACGTACATATTTTTTCTTTTAAAAATAGTCAAAAATAAACTTTAAAAGTGGGGTACTACGAAACGCTTACATTGCAAGATTTTTCGTCTAGAAAGTGGCGCCTCTGTTAAGATTTTTAAGAAATTAATATTTGTGAATGAAAACAATTTATAATATATTTTACTAATGTTTTACGACGGATAAATAAATTTTACATATTTGTACACCTTGGTTTTTACGTAAATAATTTCTGTAATACTAAGATTGGCATATATATTATATGCAAGGGTTTCATAGTACACCAATTTTACGGATTATTCTTATTTTTACTAAAAGAAAATTTATGTAAATACAGGTAAAGGCCACCTTTCTGGAGTCACTTTAAAAAATTGAATCAGCATCTTTTGAAAAAGTCTAAGAAGATATATTTCTAACAAAAAGAAATAAAATTGTTAAAAAAAGGAGGGAACAATATATTTAATTTTTGCCTACAGGAGCATTTATTTTGCTTATAATAAAAATACGTTAAAAGGTTTTTCGTCTAGAAGGTGACACCAACAAAATATATATCGTTTTCTACTATTTAGTGATTTGTATTTATTTTACTTTTTACATACAGTAATTTCGCTCAATTATTTTAAATTAATTTTATCATTTATTAAAAAAATATATCCGAAATTAAAAGGTCTACACTGAGATGGGAATTATAAATATGTTTTTGTTTAACTTTTATATCGCACGGTTTTGTTTTTAATGAATTCCTCTTCGAGTTTCAAAAGAAGATTTTTTAACACGTTAGACAATGTCTATAAATTTTCAACTAGGTTACTTGAAAATTTTTTGTGATTTTTTAATATTAATTTCTCAATAAGTTCCACGGTTTACTATATATATTTTATTATATAAAACAAAATCTAAATATTTCAAAAACCTTATTTTTAGTTTTTTTCTACTCCATCTAATCAATATATAATAGTATAATTCGAGAATTGTTGTTGAGGAGTTACTTTCTCGTGAGGCACTGTACAAATACTCACATTTTTAAAAAAAAAATTCTCAAAAATTTGCAAGGTAAGGTATAGTTAAAAGTTCAGTATTAGATAAATAAGGACTTCAACTATTAGAAAAAAATAAATTTTAGTCATAATCTAATAACTTTTTTTTTAACATTTGAGGCGAGAGGTGTGGCGAAAGGACCTCCTTAAGTCCCCAAATAATAATATCAAGACTTTGATTTGGATTAGAAGTTTTATCAACTCAATAGAAATTGAAAATTCACATATGAGTCTTTGTAACGTAATTATTTATAACTTTATTAACTTCGTACGGTCAAAATTTTTAGCTTATTTAATTTTAAATATAAATTGATTTTTACTTAGAAAATTTCAAAAAGTTCATTATATTGTTTATTGTTGTAACTTTACTGCGCTTAAGTAGCGTTCAGAATAAAATATGAATTGATTTATGGAGCTTAACTGAAAAACAGGAACTAATGCTTTCATTCCAAAATATCATGGTCAATAAAAGGAATTTCGAACTATTTAAAACCTTCAAATATTAATATTTTTATTGTACAAGAGTTATCTTTACAAATTAAAAGGTACAAATATCGAACATAAGTTTGTTGACAAAAACATTATTTTCATAATACAAATAAATATATCTCTGTTAAAGGATGGTCTTTCAGGTCTTTCAGTTTGTAATGTAAATTTTCCTCTTAAAACTATATACAGGTTTAATTCAAAAAATTTACCAGCAAATTGTACTATTTGTATTTTATATAGATAAAATTGAAATAATTTATTAATTAAAACATGCAAGACTTAATTAAAAATAAATACAACAGTGTTCTGTGCTTTATTTAGCAATAAACATGTTTATTTTGTTTTGACAAAATTATGTATAATTCCCATAAGAAGCCATGTATTTTGAACAGCGTCAGCAGTACCAGCGCCCATGCGGTGAATTATAAAAGCTCAATTATTAGCGTTCGTTTTTTTGGGACTGTATTTAGAGTAGCTGATTCGCCTCTTTATCTCTAGTCTTCATAGTCATCGGGAAGCAAAATTGTTATTAAAAAATCAAAGTTGTTGAAAATGGTTGTCAGAGATATAATTTTGATTTGTGGATGTCAGTAATAATAATTTATTAGTAGAGTGGTCATAGGGCAAACAGGGTCGAATAGATATGAAATAAATAATTATACTTAGCGATGAGACCAGTCATTAGAGAAGAAAAGTTTTAATTGTGGATCTTACTCGAATAACATAAAGGATGATGAAGTAAAGATGGTTTTTGTAAGAGTTTTAACGAATTCCTGAATGTATTATTTTTTTTGTCTGTCTTAAATGTGCAAAACTAAAACAATTTCTCCATTATTTTTAAATAAATGAATTTAATTAAATTATTATTAGATGCAATGCAATGAAATTTTAAATCATTTTACAGTATAGTCATGTATGTTACTAATGAAAAATTTGTAGTTTCCAACATAGCACTGATGAAGCAGGACAAGAAAAAACAGTCTATATATACTGATAGGAAAACCTCTAACGATGTTTCTAGAGTTTCCAACAGTGTTGCCGTGGCGAGATGAGCGAATTATCCTCGAAAATATCCGGTTTTTACCAACAGTTTTTTTCAAGATATTTAGGATAAAATAAAGTTGGATTTTAGCATATCACTTGCTACTATAAAGATATAATAAAAAAATATTTACAAGTTTTTTAAAGTTATTTAGATTTGTTCCAACAACGATCAAAAACAATAATTATTGTAGAAATATTTGGCAGTCAGGATTCTGTGCAGAAGCTTGTTAAGTGCTTTAAATAATCTACCACGCAGAATCCTAACAATAAACGACGGTTTTTGATCATTGTTGGCACAAACCACATAGCTAAGATCGCTCGGTGGCACAAACCATAGAGCTAAGATCGCTCGGTGGCACAAACCCTTGAGAAAAGTAGGTAATCGAAATCGAAAGTTTCACGCAAGCAAGGTTAATTAGTTTTTTAAAATTTAGAATACAAAAGTAGAAGTATAAAATAATCAGCTTTTTATCCTTGATCCTCATCAAGATCCTTGAAGTTTCAAATTATCCGCAAATCGGATAATTATTCTCTCCACAGCAACACTGGTTTCCAATCCAATTTTCTCAATTTTGTATTTTTTCTAAAACTGAGACAATTTAGAAAAATTAAAAATAATGTATATTTCTGCTTTCCAGTCTGTTCCGGCTGCTCCTCACTTTCTATTCTGGAAGTATATTATGCTATTTGCTTTCTATGCACTGACTTACTATGGTGCTCTTCTCCTTAAGTATTTAATTTTATATATTTCTATTTTATTTATCCCATTTATTTAACTCTTCTAATTAACATTCAATAATCTTATTCTTACAAATCTCTTTTTATAACTTTTCTAACTAAATTTTCCTATCCAAAAAAAGAACCTTCGATCATCCAATATATCCCAATCAACAATTTCTATCCTCATAACAAATTTCCAAAACCTCCTTGATTTTATACAATTTTATCATTTTCAAAACTTTAACCACCCCAAATATCACTAAATGATTTGAAATTTTTGAAAAATAATCTGCCGACATAAAAATTATAAAAACCAGAATTTTCCAATTTTTCATAGCAATACATTAATTTGTAATCGAAAAACTTATTTTCTTACCGATTTTCCTCAAAGTATGACCTCCATTTCTCTAATTGCACTTCATGCAGTTCCAGTAAATCTTCTGTATAGCAATCAGAATTTAAAAATCTGAAATCGTTTTTCACTGATTCTGAACAGTGACATTGACTCCACACCTCCGACAGTTCTTGCCTTAGTTTATCAATAAAAACCTAAAACAGAAATAATGAGTGTAAGCTTTGAAGCAATAAATTTATTTTTAAAAAATACCTTTATATTAGCTTTTTTTAACTGCACACATCTTTGTAACTCGGTTCTGAGAGCTTCCAAGGTTTTTTTAGAATTACCAGTATATTTTTTACGAAAATCCTCTCTTTCGATAAATTCTAAATCTAGCAACACCCACAACTGTTCGATTTTGTTCCTTAACGTGCCTATTTCTTCCTTGACGTCTTCTAATTCTTTTTGTATGTTATAGTAGAACTTGTCTAAGGCTCTCATATTATTATCAGTGATAACGAATTTACTCTCATTCTGACCAATGACATCACCTAATTTAAAACAAAACAAAATTAGTAAATCATTTTTACAAAAAATAGTGAACAGTATTTTTCCCCTCAAAACTTGCATATAATTTTATAGAAATGTTTATCACCCTCCAGTTTTTAACTCATTTTACCATAAGACTGAACGAGTTATTATAGAAAATCCAACTCTCGGAACCTAATTTAGAGATTTTAGAGTGTAATACAGCTCTGTAATTCACATTTTCGACGTTATTCTTCATATTAAAACGAAGTTGTAAAAAAACAGTTAATTTTAACACCTACTTACTTTCAAATTTAGTGCTAGGAATATATTCCAATTCCGTAACTATTTCTATAATTTTTTCTTTCACTGAATAAAATTTCTCTTCACGATCGAATGTTTCTTGTTCCAGTTTCTCAATATACGCTTGAATGTCAGCCAATTCAGTAGAAGATGGTAAAGAATTGGCATTGAAAAACATTGGTTCCCTTCCAAGGGATGTACACAGCTTTAATTGCTTTTGATGTAATTCATTTAATTCCGCTTGTCTCGCATCTACGATTTTTTCAAGCCTAGAACATACACCAAAATACAATTTCAAGTTTTTTTTAGAAAAAGAAACCAGAACAGAATGTTTAGTTCATGTCAGATTAAGAAGTCAGTGTGGGCAATATCAATGTATGTGTATCTAAAATAGGGATCAACCAATATAATTTGTGGCCGATATTGATATACACGTGACCGATACCGATATACACGTGGCCGATACCGATATACGCATGGCCGATATGAACCAATATATCGGCCATACAGTTTTATTATGTATATTTTGTTATAAAACTTAGGAAAAATTAAGTGATTATCCATAAAATTAACGCTAAAACTTAAAAATAACATAAAACAAACTCGATGTTCTACAAACCACCTTAATAGAATACAATTCCACCCAGTGAAACCCCGAATTTGGCAAAGTGAAGTTTGTTTTGGAATACCTTTGAAGAACTTACAGTATAACAGCAAGTAAATCACCATCATATAGGAAGAGAAATGATAGTGATATGAAAAATAAAATTGAAGGTGAACTTAAAATATACAGGGTGTCTGATTAAGCGGTGTTCGCAGCATCTCATTGTACAAGTTTGCAGTAAAATCTGAAGCGTGGTCCAGTATCTGATAGCGGAGTTTGCAGAGCATCAATCTCCAATATATTTTCATTTCAACATTGTGTACACTGAATTAAATAAATTTGAAAGGTTAGATGTTAAGGCGGGAGTTGAAAAGTGACCAAATCACAACTAAGAACCGTTACATATCTTGGAAACCAACCACTTTCAATTACTGTTTAATAAAGTATTTTACTCAAAACTATTTTCTCTAAAAGCTACCGGTTTCCGCTAACGAAAGTCAGGTCACAGCGTTGAGTGGTTATAAACCATTGATGCCAAATTGTATTAACTTCCGACATTATTCCTGCATTTTTGTATAAATAGAAATAGGTATGATTGACAGGAAATTTTAAAAATAATGCAATTATTTCAGAATTAAGGGTAAATACGAACATCTACAATTTCAAAAATAATAAATAATAAAGGGATTTGTTTTTGTACATAGGCAATCTTTTATTGGAAAACGTAAGTTTTGTGAAGGCTGACTTTGTCACGGTATGTTCCGTTTCGTGTTATTTTCAAAACATACAATCTACAAATATTCAATAAAGTATTTAGTGCGATACAAGCAAATCACTCGAATTGTATAGTATATTTCTACGAATCACTAAAGAAAATCTACGTCTTAAAAAGTAATTTAGAGGTTATTAACATAAAATTACTATTTTAAAAATAATTAACACAAAGATTTGAATTTCTGGATTGTACCAAATTATAAAATAAACTTAAAAGAAACGAATTTGCTTGAATTCAACTCGAATTTGAACCTCAGAACTTTTGTACGAAAACTCATCCCTTAAACTTTCGCGATCATTTATTTCTCTTTAACATTTACACTTAAATAATTGGTTTAGGTCATTTTGTTATAATTTTACCAAAATTTTCGGTTTCTTTAACTATTAACAATAAATATCTAGTGTATATTTTATCCTAATAAAAAGAATAAGATCATTAGTTTGACAAAATTGCCACTAATTTAAAATAACTCAAAAAAAAAAACAGTAATTTGTGTAACAAAAACGTATATGAAGACAAAGTTTGAACACGACGCTGTAGGAACTCAATTGTGTAGTAAAATTTTTCTACGACCCACAAACAAAAACCTAAAAAATTTGAAAATTAATTTAAAGGTTAAGATAAAAATATTTTAATTAGTATTCGTCCTGGATTTGAACCTTTCGCATAAAAACTCACTACTCTTATCTTTGCAATAACGAGACAAACAACTTTTTTTTAATACTGATTGGTTTATTGTCAATAAAATTTACGATTTAGTTGTAAATATAGTCGAATATCTTGTTGAATGCTATTATTTTTTTATCGATTCTTCACAAAAACACACATTTTAAAGTATATTTATTCTCAATAACTAAAACATATACAATTTGTTTGGCAGAATTGTCACTTATTTTAAATTTAAATAAATAGTGGTAGTCCGATCTTTCTAGAATGAATATTAAATTTTATATTCATTAGGGTGCTTCATTTTCAGGCAATATTTTTTTTCTCTGTGCTACCTGAAAATCTGAAAGTTTATGAAAAATCAAAAATTTATGTGTGTGTGTATGTGTGTGTGTATGTGTGTGTGTATGTGTGTGTGTATGTGTGTGTGTATGTGTGTGTATATGTGTGTATGTATGTGTGTGTGTGTTTGTAATACAGCTTAAATGTAATACAGCTTAAATGTAATACAGCTTAAATGTAATACAGCTTAAATGTAATACAGCTTAAATGTAATACAGCTTAAATGTAATACAGCTTAAATGTAATACAGCTTAAATGTAATATGTTTTAATATAATAGTATGTTTATACTATAGTTTATTTTTTTAAATATATTTAGCCTGCTCATATTTGTCTTTGTTTTACCTAACTATTGGGATCTAAAATTAAGATCGCAGCGCAGTCTGTACTTAACATTTAAACTAATTGTTATGGCTTGTTATTGTTTACATTTTTGAGTTTGTAAACAAACAACCCATAAAAAGTATTTAGTTTATATTGTGCTATTTTAAGGAAAACACGAGGGAAAACATATTGTTGTTGTTAATTTTTAGTGATTAGATACTTTTATTTCAACAGTTTTTAGGTTAAAGTAGAATATATATTTTTATTTGGTAAGTAACCCCCTATTAATTTTGTTTTTAAATTACATTCATTCATTTATGTTAATTTAAGATATATTTGTGATATCTTTTAATAAAATATTAATATATTTATTTTATTTTTAGTGAGATGTCTGAAATAAGGCTAAGTTTAATAGAACTTATGAAGTATATTGATGCAGGTGAAAATTCCAGGACTGTTATTAAAGAAGATGCTATTTTAAATGCGGGTCACATAGTTTTTATGAGGAAAGAATGAATTTAGTGATAAACACGTTTTTGCAGTTGTTCTCCAAACTAGTGCATTGAATTCAGGTCCCCATATTGTTGTAGGCCAGTACAAGATGTTTGAAATTAGTGAATGGCAGTGTTTGTTTTAAGCTGGGAACAGTGGACAGTGCAAACATATTTCAGGAGTCTTAATAAAGTGTTCTAGGTGTATACTGTTTCAAATAATAAAAGAACTATCAAGCTAATTCGATCGAATACCTTTTGATTTTGTTCTACACCCACATGTATATTATTTACTTTACGCACTGATTAAAGAACGAAAAAGTAGGCCATTGAACGAATATATTTATCTATTCTATGAACACTGTACAGATATGAAATCCACCAATATTTGGTCACCAGGATACCATTATTTTTTTAAATTTTAAATGAGTAACAATTCTGTCAAACTAATTTTCAGCATAGTTTTTAGTTATTGAGATTAAATATAAATTACAAATGATTATTGTGAAGAATCGATAAATAATGGCACTACACAAGATATTCTTTTATATTTTCAAATAAATCTAAAATCAGTTTATGATTATTACAAAAACTATGTGTCCTTGGTACGGAAGCAGAATATTAATGGCTTCACTTTTATGTTTGCATAAACTATTTGATAATCAAATTATTATTTCAATGTTCCATAATTTTATTTAAAAAGAAGTTTTAAAACAGAATAATTATTCTTTTAAAATCATCTATTAACACAAGTAGGTACTATTTTGTTTGTTTGTTAGTTTTGATGTAAAATTTACTTAGTCATAATTTTTATTTGTAGTTTGTATTAGTTTTTAGTCTTAATACTTTTATAATATATTATTTAATCCATGTTACTTATTATCTTACAAACAATTGTATGACACTTCGCAAGTGTTCTTATTCTTACCTTTTTAACACACTGATGTTTGTAATGTTTGGATATTGTGTGAATAATGATGATATTAATAACATAAGTAATTCATGTGATCTCTTCTTTAATACAATAAATGAAAATGTACAGCTTGAAATTTATGATTGATTTTGTACTTGAGAGAATACTCTTTTTAATAATTATTTTTATTCTCAAGTTTACTAGTCATAGTGTACAGTTACATTTTCTAATGAGTGATTGTACATTGATAATGTATTTTTGTACATTTTTTATATTATTCTGTAATGGAATAGTTCGACACATGCAACGAAGACTATAGTAACTCATTATTTCCAGTTTTGAGAAAATCTAAGATAATATAGTATTCAAAGTATTTTATGGCCTAAAATGATTTACTATATTTGATGGTAGTATTTCTGGTTGCTTAACCTCTTCGTTTAGATATACGATACTTATTTAGATCAAAGCTTTTGGCAAATATATGTGCTGTATAAAGGTAACTAAAAACTCTCAAAAATGAGTCTTCATTGCATGGGTCGAGTTGATTATGTTGGTAAAAAGGCTATTATTATAAGCAATAAATATAAAAATAAAATATTTTTTATTTTTCCTGTTAACAAAATATGCCAATGTTTACATAATAATAAACGTTCTTTATTGAGTTACAATACCCAATAGGCCATCTTCCGAAGTACTTCAGCTGATTTGACTGTATTTTCTAGTACAGTATGTTAAAGTTGTTAATACCAGTGAATGAACACAACTCTTTGTCAGATTTTAAAAGATCTGAAATTGTTTTAATTTTTGGGGTATGCGCACTTGTACACTAATGGCAATATACTTGAAAAAGAGTATTTGCAACCTCTGTCTTGTTTGGCGTGAGTAGCTAGGTTATCTTGAAACAAATCACTCTCAACTATGACTTTGTTTAATCTCACTATCACATTTAACACTGATTGAACTTTTTTTAGTTTGGACACAAAATCTTTATTCTGTGGTTTGGATCTTCTTTTTGTTCTCTCAATATTTGATTTTGAAGTTTATTGAACAGAATCGTCAAACATTTACTTAAAAACTGGCAGGAAGACAGCGATTTTTTTTATATTTATTTTCACTTTGGATGAGGCATCTACAACACAAAAAAAGGTAAAATAAAAACATTCAATCGAAAAATAAATCTATATTACCTCTAGGCAAATCATCTTCTTTAAAATGCTTCTCAATTTTTAATTTTTGTATCCATGCATTTCTTGCAGAATTTCCACTTGCAAATTATAAAAATTACCCTACATTTACCAACTTTAGGAAGCAAATGAAATGTAAAAGAAGGTCCATTTTTTTAGGGCTGCATCCAGGCACCCAACAAGTGTGTTTTTCACTGATATTCCACTTATAGTTCAAATAAAATAATATTTTAATATATATGATATAAATTTAAAGCATTAGCTTATTATTAAATAAGATATTTCAAACTAAATACTTGTTAAATTTTAAAATATTGAAATGACCTGATAAACAATAAACAAAACTTGACAGAACACAGACGGTCAAGTGTCAAATGGCATAACTTTTAGTTCACAGTAGAGGGCGTATCGCTTATCTTCAAATCCCAATACTTAATATAACAACAATAAAGAATAAGTTTTATTTGTAAGATGCCTATATGTTAGATAACTCGTGCGTTGCATTCAATTTAAACTTACTTCACATATTCAATGATATTTTGGGAGTTTTTTAGGTATGGGGTACAATATTTAATTGTAAGAATAAAATGTTGATACTCTTTCTACTCTACTTGCTGTACCTATGCTGAGTAGCATCAAAAATAGTTAATACTAGAATAGTAAACTTTGTATGGGTGTATATACCAAATTTAAAATACAGGGCGTTCCGATGTTATGCTACTGAAATGCTGATTTTCCACTTATCTTTCAAAAAAAAAAAAAAGATTTATCACCAGACCAACACGCAGGACTAGAAACAATTCTATGCGATTTCGACAAGTCGGAAATACTTGGAGCAGACCAAGAAGAATACGTCAAAGAATTAGCTTCAAAATTTGAAAATCATCTAGTAACGTGGTTCAACTGCTAAATTATGGGTTTCTTACTTTCGCATGGTATCAGTTATGAAAAAATCTTAATAGTATCCAGCAAATGTTGCCCTATGTTCATGCCAGTGGTCATTTTTTGTATGCTAAATGTGGCAATTTATATTTACAGGATATGTATAGTTTAAAAGAAAAGATGAATCCTACAGAATAAAAGTATTTTACAGATGGAGGCTGCTTCACAATTAAACGTTATGACAAATTTTGTTGTGGCACATGGTCAGACATGGTTATTAAGAAATCATTAATGCGAACGATGAAAACAGTAGGTGGACTAACTCATGGGCGGGGAGTCCAGGAGAGGGTACTTTCTAGGTGGACTATGAGAATGTCAATCTTGCACAATATTTGTGACGTGGTTAAAAATTATTGCAATATAGAGTTAAGCACTTCGGAACAGCATGTTGAATTGAGAAGTTCCCGGATTAATCCTAATAACAATGATGTCAAAAATTAATTAATCAATTGGTTTTCCCAAAATTCGGCTTTCCTGCAATGAAAGAACGTATATCAATAAGAACTACAGTCATTTTTGCTGTAAAAACAACTAATAACAAGATATCTTAAAAAAAAATTTTTTTTCACAATTTATTACAATATGGCGGCGACGGCGACAAAATTACGAGGTGGCAAAATAAAAAATCAAAAAGAGCAGTTAAAAATACATCAAATCGCCAACTATCAAAAATTCCACAAATTTTTCCAGCTAAAGGTAATTACAGTAATTACTGGAATAATATATAAATAGGCAAAGACAAAATAGTTCAGTACCATTTTCTGTTTGTAACCGATTTTTCTTTCTTTTTAGTTTTGTTTAGTATTAGCGAGTTTTAGTGATATCAATAATAAAAATTTGGAAATGATATTTTTTTTCCAGCCTTTGACATATAAAATCCATTGATCCACAGTTATAAATAATTACGATTGACTAATAAAATTACCCTATTTCGAAATGAGCACCCTTTAATTTTGAACCGACATGGACAATATTACATGGAAGGATAATTGATGGGAAAAACGAAAAAAAAAATTACTGCCTTCCCACTCCTCCAACTTCCCCTCTCTTCTTCTCCCACGGCTAAATGGTTAGAGATAGAAAAAAACTGAAAGCCTTTTTTAGGGCACCAAGAGTAACCTCAAAATAAAAATTGTACTGTTATTTTATTGAATTTATTTTTTTTTAATTATAATGGTACTGAACTATGTTGTATTGTAAAAGTACACATAAAAGTTTATGGTCGCAGATATACAATAAAAGAATGAAAAAAAAAAAAAAAAAAATGTTAGGAACCTGCAAATGCATAATATATCTTCCTCAAATTTTCAATAGTGATTATGGTCGAAGTTCGACCACTGTTTGAACACTGGTTAAAACAAAAACACAACTAAAATAGTTTTTTTTATTATAAGAAAAAATACGCCTTTTAAATTCATCTCTCATGGAAGAAAACATTGTTTTACTGAAACATAAACAAAAAAAAATATTATTTTCGCAAAGTTAACAGGTGAACACTGGTTAAAACAAAAACACAACTAAAATAATTTTTTAATTATAAGAAAAAAAATTCGCCCTTTAAATTCATCTTTCATGGAAGAAAACATTGTTTTGCTGGAAACATAAACACAAAAAGCTGTCGAACGATGATTTCTAATAGAAAACTCCAATTTTTCTTATGTAGGGAAGTATTTTGATCTAACCATGGAGTTCGTATGTACTCATAAATTGTTTAATTTTTTTAATAAAAAAAAAACAATTTTTAATTACTATGAATTTTTTTATAATTAGTAAATACAACCTAATTTGATATTTTTTAAAACGTTAAACCTTTTTACGTCACTAAATATACTACAGGTAAAGGATAGGGTGTCAATTTAAAAGAAAATAATCAAGATTTTGAATTGTGGTAATTTGTTTTTCTAACAGTTAATATAATTTTTAAAGAATTTTTTTGTCTAGAAATTGTGTCACTGAAATTCAAATATAAAAAATTGTTAGTTTCTTTTTTTTAAAGGTTCCCAAAATTTTGCTTCGACTATTTAAAATAAACCACATAAAGCCATCCTCAATCAAAAAGTTATTTAATACATATAATGCTAGCATAGCATATAATTTGAAAATCTCAAAAATAATAGTTCTAAAGGTACCATTTGGCAACGCGAGACCGTGACAGAAGTAAGGCGGCAAATATTGCCATACTAAATCTGATGTCGTCAGTCGCTTCTACTAAAATGTGTTTTATATAATTACATATGTTCAGATGTGCTGTCGTGGCGCGTTTTGAAGTCGGTCTCTGCCTCGACTTGCGAAATGGTAGTTTTACAAAACTCAAATAGGTTCAGAGATATTTGGCCTCATTGTTATTTTTTAATTTACCCTTTATAAATGGTTCAAAATCTTCTGCCAAAAAATATTTTATCAATATATTTAAAAAAATTCTTACTCAATAATGCGTTTTTTTAAAAGAAGCTGTTCTTGATATAGGCCTAGTTTTTTATGACCTACTACAGGCATTTCCATTTGTAAATCCTTGCATAAAACTTGCGTTTTCTTTAGGTACTTTTCAATATTATTAATCACTTGTTCATGGAGTTCTTGCATGTCTGCGACCATTTCACAACACCTAGAATCATTATCAAGATCAAAAATGTTATTTTTCTTATTTTCTTTGATATTATTAGTAATTTCAATTTCAGAGAGAACAATTTAAAAGCTTATAACAGTCATTGCCACACAACAGATAAATTCAATGTTTATTATTAATAATAAAACACTTTGGTATAATGTAAAGTGACCAGTCGTCCCCCATGTTGAGCCACGGTACCCCATTCAAATGTGTCCCCCACTGCCAAAAGTATTAGTCATAAATGTAATTTCTATTTACCAAAAACAAAACGTCGCGATCTTTAAAACATGTAGGTCTAATGAAAAATTGTGTGAATAGGCAATACTGTGCCTTTGCCAAGCCATCCACCCCTACCAACTCTGAGTCATACGTGCACATGCATAGTTTTTTAAAGTAAGGGTTGGTAAGAAATGTTTTAAATACATACTAATTCTTTGATTTATTTGAAAATTTTAGAGTACCTAAGTAAAATTATGGCTTCTAAAAGATCATTTATATTTAATGAAGATCTGCAAAAAGAGTTTCCATTTATTAAAAAAACAAAAGTAGATACTACAATGCATTGCGAACAATGCAATGGTCACTTTTCAATTGCAAACGGAGGAAAGTACAACATAAAGCATCATCTTGATAGCGAAAAACATAAGCAGTTTTTAAGATATTCTGCTATTCTTCTAAAATGATGGATTATTTTCGGAAAAAAAAAATTACAGCTTCTTTCAAGCACAATCAGAGTTTTAGGTCTATGGACTGTACTTGCGGAATAATACAATGCTTGTTTGAAAAGAAATGCACATGTAAAAGAACAAAAGCTGAAGCGATAGTCAAAAAAGTTATAGATCCACTGGCAATAAGTGAACTTAAAAGTAATTTAAAAAATACTATTTTTTTGACTGTTTTCACTGATGCATCAAATCACAAGGACTAAAGTTATTTCCAGTAGTAGTTAGATACTTCCACTTTAAATCAGGTGTTCAACTGGGGTAATTAGATTTTGTAGACTTGCCAGGAGAAACCTCAGAAATAATTGCACATCTTCTATTGAAAGTGATTAATAATGGTTTAGAAAAAAAAAATATTGCTTCTTGTGCTGACAATGCTAATACGAATTTTGGTGGATAGAAGAAGCAAGGAAAAAACAACGTTTTTACCAAACTAAATAAGCAATTGCCTCAAAATATTATAGGTGTTGGTTGCAGTGTGCATATCATTCATAATGCTTTTCAGACTGCTGCTGATCTATTACCTGTTGATATAGAGAGCATAGTTATGAAAATTTACTCATTTTTTTATATATATACTATGAGGGTACACACATTACAAAACTACTGTGAAGAGTCAGGCACAGAATATAAAAAACTTCTTGGATACAGCAAAACAAGATGGTTAGCCCTCCTTCCTGCAGTAGAAAGGAATTTAAATTTATATGCACCTACTTTTTGTCAGCAGAAAAATGTCCGTCAATTATTAAACAATTTTTTTCAAATGAATCATCCGAGCTTTGGCTTAAATTTATTCATTGCCAGATTGCCACTGTTTAGAGATTAATAAAAAATATTGAAGGAAACAATGTGTGTTTTGCAAAAGTCGCCAAAGGAATGAATAATCTGATTATTTTGTATAAAAAAAGAATAGAGGAAGAATACTTACCATTAACTATTAGAAAAGATATAAGGGTGCTTTCTGAATCGGGCAGCATTGACGAAAAATGGTTTATCTGTCAAATAAGATTATTTTATGGAAACATAGTAAACTATCTAGAATCATCCTGAAGTCAGTTCAGCGAGTTTCAGGAATTTAGTTGGGTTCTACTTAATAATTCCAGATTACTGGAAAACAAGCTTTATCACTCCAATATTTAAATCTGGAAATCGAGCTGATGTACAAAATTATCGGGGAGTGTCGATATGCTCAGCCATACCGAAACTTTTTGACTCCTTAGTTTGCAATGTTCTTGCTGCTGCTTGCAAACACTTTATTATACCTGAACAGCATGGGTTTGCTCAGGGTAGATCAACAACGACCAATTTGTTGGTTTATGAAAATTACTTGTTGAACGCCTTGGAGAAGCGACTTCAGGTTGACAGTATTTATACTGACTTTTCCAAGGCGTTTGACAAGGTTAGCCATAGAATTTTGGTTGCTAAGCTAAAAGCGCTGGGTTCGGGTGAGATCTTGGTCGCATGGTTCGCAAGTTTCTTAAAGGATCGTTTTCAGTTTGTCCGTGTTAACAATGTTTTGTCGGCTGAAATAAAGGTGGCATCGGGGGTGCCGCAAGGCTCTCACTGTGCCCCCATACTGTTTATCTTATTTATAAATGATATTGGTAATGCGATTGTTAATTCAGAATTTTTATTGTTTGCGGACGATCTAAAATTATTTAAAGAGGTTTCGGAACCATCCGACTGCATGTTAATACAAAGTGATCTAGATGGACTTAGTGCTTGGTGCCGAGACAATGGTTTACAGTTGAACATTGATAAGTGTTTCTCTATAACTTTTTCACGAAGAACAGTGCCCATAACAAATATATATGTCTTAAATGACCGAGCGCTAACTGTTAAGGGTTCAATTAAGGATCTCGGCGTGATTCTAGACTCCAATCTTAACTTTCGAGAACACTTTGGCATGGTAGTTAACAGCGCTGCACGAATGCTTGGCCTTGTAACACGAAACAGCGTTGACCTGTCTATAAACGCCTTTAAACTGCTGTATTGCTCCCTTGTCAGATCTCTATTGGAGTATGCATCTGTGGTATGGTCACCCTATCATCAGGTGCATGTATCTGCTCTGGAGGGAGTTCAAAATAAATTCTTGCATGTTGTTGCCTGGCATTTTAATATTAATGTCCATACCGATGCACAAAATCCATATTATATTGATTATGAGCCTGTACTAAATCGCCTTGCGATTTCTACATTGGAGTCCAGGAGAGCGAGTCTTCCATATGCTTTTTATACAAATTATTGATGGGAAGTATTAACTGTGATTGTTTGCTAAATTTAATTAACTTTTCGACCACGCGTCGAACTAGAAATAATGATCTTTTTTACATTCCCACCAATAACACAAACTACGCCATGCACAACCCTCTCACCCGTATGTGTAGATTATACAATGAACATAATATCGATCCTTTTAAGTTCAGATCTCATCAGTTTAAAAAACATATTTCCAAAATTATGTAACTAAATTAAATTAGGTTGTTTTGGTATAAATGTGATATTGTTGTGTTAGTATCACTTATGAAATTTTGATATATTTTGTTATTCTACTAAAATTGTAAAAATGGAGTTTCCGTATAAATAAATAAATAAATAAAAATAAATAATTCAGCTTTTCAGTGGACTGACCTTCAGAAAATTTATGGAAAAATTGACTCAAATGTACCAGAAAATCATATTTCAGAAGATGAGTTATTTGATGAATTTTTTTAATGAAATGAAGATAACACTGATGTAGGTTTGAGGTGGGTGGAGATTTTTGAACATTTCTCTCAGGAAAATATTCCTTTTACAAATGTAAAAAAGGTGATTGAAAACTGTCTGTGCCTTCTGGAAACAAATGCTGTTATGGAAAGAATTTTTACAGAAGTTATAAAATCTAGACTATAGAAAAGTCCCAGCTCCAAGTACAGCGACTGTTAAATCTGTGCTGTTCGTCAAACATAATATTAACAGCAGTTTTTTGAAAAAATAAAGGACAATAATGCATTTTTAAAAGTGAATTTTATCTTAGAATTTAAATAATTTTGTTGTTATGTTTGATTTTTATTTATTCATGTTATTTTAATTGTAAGCTTTTATGTTTTGTTGAAAATTGAGAAATAATTTATGTTCTGTTTTTTCTATAGGTTTGTTGCACAGATAACATTTTTGTTCCGATTTCCGTTTTGAAATGTTTATAAATAAATGACTGAATGATTTATTCGTAAAATGGTTATTTTCTCCAAAAAAAGTCATTATTTTTTCCGTTGTCCCCAATTGATGTCTAAAAAATCTGGTCACTTTAGTATAATGTAAGTATAATTCTATTAACAATCTTATCATTAGTCAATTTATATTAGGAAAACGTTAATATTTCTATTAGGTATTCATATCTAAGAATCATATTTCCTGAAATTGTACTTACCTCTCCTCAAACTGATCAATGAATGTTTTCTTCCATTCTTTAACATCTACTTCATTTTGACTCAAGGTCAGAACAACAACCACCCAATTGAGAAATGATTTTTTAAGACCAGCATCCAGTGTTTCATACATGGTTTCAGCCCATTTAATCCCTTTTATTCTAAAATTAAAGTGTTAAAAATGAACAAAGGCAAATATCACTTTATTGATGTAAATAAAAAAAGCTAAACATAGGTATAAAAAAAGGTATTATTTTAGTAGGCATTGAAACCTAAAAATTATCTTTAAAAAATTGTGTAATAGTAATCATTCCTACAAAACTAATAAATAATAAATACGTTGTTTTACTCACATTTCCATATCTCGGAATTCCATATCTTTGAATCTAGTTGGTGCTACATTATTTGTATTATTCATTATGAATAGTTAATAATAATTAAGAAGAGCTGAAAAGGTAATAATTCAAAATCTATGCTATGCAATGCTAATAAAGATTTTAAACTTATTTGTATGTAAAAAGTAATGATCAAGAACAAAATTTTAAACTAACTTCTATAACAACTGTAACCGACTCAAATAAAATAACCGTCAGTTTAAAAATGTCTGTCACTTCTGTCAGTCAGAATCACGTGTCACGTTGCCAAGCTTAAATTTAATCGAACCATATGCAAAAAAAGGTACCATCGTACTTAGGATCGTACGTACATCTGTAGAAATTTTGTGAAGTGGTAGGCGTGGAACCATCAGGAAGTGTCATCTGCAAGGATTTAAAGGATTTAGTTTTAAAACCGTGTAAACGAAAAGTCAGACAACTCAAGGGTGAGATTACAGAACGTCTGCAACTTTGCAGATCTGCAAATTTGGCGGACTTACAAATACAAGTATTCCAAAAAATATATCTGCAAAATCGCAATATCTATTATGGTTTATTACCCCCAACAACACTAAACCCAAATTTGAAATACGAAATCTTGATACGTGCATGTGTAAGTCAGTCATGTTTGCAGATTTTCAAAGTTGCCGCCATATTTGCAGATCTGTAAAGTTGCAGACGTTCTGTAATCTCACCCTATGGGGTCTATTCTGTAACAATTCCTTTATATTTAACGGCCTTTAAAAATAGTTTCGTATTCGTTAATTTACTTCTATATCATTATTTAAACAGATTTCTTTAAGATAGTCCTCTAATATATTTTAAAGATCCGTTTAAATAATGACAGAAGTAAAGAAGAAAATATTTTTAAAAGCCGTTAAATATAAAAGAATTGTTACAGAATATACCCCTATATTGGTTATGGGTGAGATTACAGAACGTCTGCAACTTTGCAGATCTGCAAATATGGCGGACTTACAAATGCAAGTATTCCAAAAAATATCTGCAAATTCGCAATATTTATTGTGGTTTATTACCCCCAACAACACTAAACCCAAATTTGCAATACGAAAACTTGATACTTGCATGTAAGTTAGTCATATTATTTGCAGATTTTCAAAGTTGCCGCCATATTTGCAGATCTGCAAAGTTGCAGACGTTCTGTAATCTCACCCTATATCTTGAAACCAGAATTATTTTAAAAATAATCAAGAATTAATGAAAGTAATACAAATCTGGCAGCAGCGCAATATTTTTTACTGCGAGGTCAAGCTTGAACTCTTTACAACAGATGTCAGCCCATACACTTTTCAATCTTAAAATTCGGTGTGGCTAGGTAACCAATATGCGGATTTGTTACACAAAATTTAGATGATTTAATTTTAAGATCAAACGTGGATCAAACCAACACCTTGAAAATTTATAATACATTCTGAGCCTGTATTTGTGAAATTTTCTGAAAATACAATCAATAACAAAACATAGGATGGAGAAACCTTAATTTTTTTGTAAACCTTCGAAAAATATTTATTTTGAAAATTTTTAAAAGAAATTAAAAAAAAAACAATTCGCGCATTCTCTATTACATTTATGAAAATTTGTTGCTTTTGTTTTAATAAATATTTAGTAGTTTTTAAATGATATTCTTTCCCACATTCTTTTCTTAAACGTCTCTGTAGAGAGCTGCCTTATCGTTGCACAAATTTAAAGCTCTTAATATTGTCAAGACATATAAAATCACGAAGTATTCCCAGTGGCACACATTTAAATACAATTTTATATTAGAATATCCTTAAAACATTTTTGCTTTCGCGAGAACAGGTCTAAGGCGAGAACCCCAGTTTCCTCTTAAACTATAATAGCTGTGTTTGCGGAGCTTGTCGGCGACATGTCCACGACAGATGAGCATGCGCATTTCGATTTTAAGCATTCGTAGAGCCGAAAATCGAACGTTTAAAACAGCTTAAAATCGATATGCGTGGACATGCCGCGTGGACATGTCGCCGACAGGCTCCGCGAATACGGCCACTATTTATGTATTTAAAACATGTTTTATCCCTAGTACATCGATTCAATCTTCATAAATCTTTTCTTTTAAAACATCGATTCAACCTTCATACATATTTTCTTTTAAAACAACGAAGGCAAAATAAATATAGAAAAGCATCTCAAGAAGTAAAATAATTATGTTTGACATACCGATATACCTACAGTATCTTAAATCTCGCACAATGAAGCCAGAAGATCGGTATAGCATAAGCGATGCTATTGATTAGACAGAGGTAGAACTGTACGCGCCAGCCCACTAGCGGTGTAGAAGTGTATCCATCTGTTCAATCAGTCAGTCAGTCGCTTCACGAGAGTCTTTTTTCTCGCACGTGCAAATATAAAATTAATGGGTCGATTCTGAGACAATCTATAAGATCTGTAAGCCAAAATTTGTAAAAAAATTACATTACTATATCTTAGATTCTGTAGCTTATAGGATATTTCCCAGAATCTTACCACAAGCGTCTCATCTTTATTTCGAAGGATCCAGGGGTTAACGCATATATATTGTATACATCTGAAGTTATTTGAATATTTTAAGGAAGGTAGGTAATAGAGGTGACTCAGTAAAGGGTGCGAATGGTTTTCCTAAAAGGGGGAGTTGACAGAAGACTATACTAAACATGAGCCTAATGACCATAAATATTATTAGAATGTACGAAGTACACTCTAGTTCTTCATACAAAAATTAGAATGATTAGACGATGCCACCGAATAAATAAATTATTTAATGGAATGAAAATGGACAACATAATGAGTATTTTTTTAAATCTGTAATAATAAAAACAAAAGAAGCACACGGATGAATTAAACGAATTGAATAATTTGACTTTTGACATTAGTGACATTGTTGGCGTTGACAATTTTAAGTTAACGAAAATTTGTTGTGGCAGACAGGCAGACACTACCACTCTAGTGCTAACTGAAAAATAATTTATATTACCGATGTGTGTTGTTTACTGTTTTAAGTAATTCAGAAAATATAGAATGAATGTGGCTTTCCAAGTGTATTTGTATTTTTAGGATTCACCGGATATTTATTATTTGGTAAGTAAGCTTATTCCTATATTCCTAATCATATTCCGTTTTATTTTGTACGTTAAAGTATGACTTAATCGATATGACTAACTAAATATTGTACTATTTTTATTTCCAAATGAAATTATTGTTACTAAAGTACAATTATTAACTAGAATTTAGCAATTTATGGTGTCTATCGTTAACATTTTTTAACAGTACTATTGTCATCTTTGGCAAGTTTATTTAGCACTTGTTTGACAAAAGGAATTAACTAAAATTCAATTCAGTTCCACAAAAAGCCTAAATCAAACAATAAACTACTTAGTCATAAATAATATTACAAGCAAAAATTAATAATTGAACCAAAACAGTAAGGCTAACTTTAAAAAATTCCCTATACCTATTAAAACTGTGCTGTTTACATTTTCATAAGTTTAAATACCTTAATTTTATTGTTGATTTGCCAATAAGTGGGTACTCTCCGTTTTCATTGTATACATGCTTTTGAGAAAAACAGGAAAATACTTTAATGGTCTATTTTACACTACTTACAATTTCAGAAACATACCTACCTACCTAGTTATTATTCTATAGAAATTGCTTTTTTGTTAAGATTTCAGAGTCTATTTTTCATCTGAATTATACAGATGCCCCTAAAATCAATAAAAAACCATTATTTTATAGAGCTGTCTTGGCTTCGCCCATGATAAAAAATGAAAAAAGAATTTTATTTTACCCACAGTCAATGTTTACTGACTTAAATATGTAAAAAATGTAGGTTGAATATTAAATTCAATGAAATTGTACTGTACTTCCTGTATAGACAAAAAAGGATTTGTTAGATACCTTTTAAACATTGTAACTAAATATGGATAGTCCTTTTAAAAATATCCTACTTAAAATTATATTGTATCAAATAGAAATTATTAAGAGGAATAGATCAAATTTTTTCATTTTTAAAATGTTACCCTACACAAAATCATTTTTTTAAATTATTAATTTAATCTAGAATATAAAGAATTTTAAGTTTAAAAATTGTTTCGACCCACATTTTTATCCTAATTTTTTTGCCTTTTTTCCCTGAACCCATAATGAAAACTGTGTTGAAAAAATAATCTTGTGAGTTTTGGATTTAGTGGGCTTTAATGTTGTGTAAAATTTTAATTTAATACAACACACTCTTTCCTTTTAAGTAATAATTTTTGATAAACAGACAACTACTAGGTATATGTTTTTGATTTAATACACCCTTAATGGTTTTTCTTGACAAAAAATTCATAGGGCTTTATTTCTGGTAAAATTTAAGTTGGAGTCTTGAATTTGAGGTATGAGACATAGGAGGCCATTATTCCATGAACGTTTCATCCCATTACCCCTCCCCACTTCGCCCCAAGCTGCCCTTGCGTTAAAATTTAGATATATCAAAAAGTATCATATGTATGTAAATTTTTCTATTATGAATGTACTCTACTCAAGAAAGTGTGATCTTGTAACTGTTGGGTTCTAATTAACAGTGCTGTTACTAAAGTGGCGCTGGGAAACAGTAACAAAGCCTACACAGAACACGAGGCGAAATAACCTTAGCAGTTTAAGCCGATGACAAATACACAAAAAAAAATTCTTCATAATTTTTACAGGGATCACTGAAAATTTTGACTTAAGGCTAGTTGGTGCGATGTGGGGTAGTATGATAAAAATATGTGGAATTATGTCCCCCTATGCACTGACTCATGCTCCAAAATTATTTCAACAGAACTTTTATCAAAAATAAAGCCATCTGAAGTTTTTGTGAGGACGCCCAGTATAAGTGATTCCACTTTTTCCGACGACAAAATGTAAATTCAAAAGTAGGAAGTACATTTATTACATGTAGTAACAAAGTAACTGAATTATCTGGGAGTTGATCTAAAATACTCTGCATCATCTAAATGCATTCTTCCACATTTTTTTTAAATACCATACAACCATCTAAACATTTTGTATCTAAACCACTTGGAATTTGCCTACGAATTTTCTTCAAAACTAAATATTTTTACTACACGTTTTCTTTCTGTTACAATTCCAACAACTTACACTGGAAAAAAATGAACATCGCACTTCAAAATAATGTATAGTTTTCATGAAAACTAGATTTAAAATAATTTGGTGTTTTTTTTTTAATGAA